ATCCTTTGTTTATTCATATGATTTCCACACTTCTCTGTGATCAGTTCACCTACACATAAAGTTGGTAACTATAAAATTTATGGTTAAAAATTTACTATTTTCCCCTTAAATCAATATGGTTTATTTTCCCCTTGATTCCAAGTTTCAAAAAGAAACAGTAACTACTAAGACAATTCTTGAGCACATGCAAGACATGTATCAGACTTGAACCCACCCTATATACCAAGTGGGAAAGCCAGAGAGGTCTCTTGAAGCCTTAAACAGGAGCAAGGGTAAGTAAGGGGGACCAGGAACAGAAATATTGCATTACTTAGATTAGTCTGGTCTGCCAGGTGCTTTTTAATTGCATTAGTGCAATTATTTTAAGTGAAGATTCATAGTCACTAAAATATACACAAAATAAAATGTGCTCCTCAAATGCAGGGATTTGTCTGCAGTCTTCATGCTGAATCTCTTAAGTCCTAAAATGTTACCTGGTATACAACTAGTAATTGATAAGTATTTACTGAATGAAAGAAGGAATCTTAAGACTATCTGCCCAACTTCATGGCCATTAATCTGTAATTATTTTAACTGTATACATGGAAGGCAATCTGGAGTTCATATTGCCTGGCAGGTCCTGGTGATACACACAGGACCGAGTCTTCCATTATCCAGTGACTATGAAGAGGCTGCATAGGAATTCACAGAATGCATAAAAATTCCTATCATCTCACCATTTGAAATGGTTTTAAAAATGTACACTTACATATTTAATTTCTGGATTATTTAAAAGTGATAAGAGAATTTAGAGGAAACAAAAATGAACATTATATTGAGATTACTTTGGTAACATATGATAACATTTGTTACTTAAGAGGAGGCAATTGGATTCTTTAGAATCATTCTTTAGAATGAAATGATTTGAATTCCAGAAATAAGTAAATTTAGTATTATATACATTTCTTTAAAAATTTTTTCTTACTCTGCTCCTACTATATTTGTAAATATAAAGACAATTAGGTCACAATTATGGTTGATAGTTTGATATCTGCAACCCATGTTTCATTTAAATTTGCTATTAGAAGTCTGAGTTCTGGAAAACTTATTAACTGGTAGAAAAATTGTGACTTTTTACTTTTAAATGAAAATAGATTTTTTTTTTAAATCAGAATTTCAGTCTATCATTCCTAGACTGAAAAACTCAGAGACATATAAGTCTGCGTTTAGTTTCTTAGGGCATATGTTACAAGGGCCACTCTAATTGCAGAAAAAAAGATGTTTTTCAGGTACCTTGCATACATTTTTAGATTAAAAACAGATTAATAAATGTAAAAGCTTTGTAGATTCACAGCAAGTGTTTTGAGGGCTTATGTTGAAAAGCTGACAACTAATTATAAAAGCCTGACTGGACTGATCAATTATTCAGATCAACATTAGATGCCTATTATATACAGAAACATGGGAATTATATCTCCCTTAAGTAATGTGCTAAAATCATGAGTCTAAAACATTGTAATGTGAAATGTGAAGACAGCAGTCTTAATACAAAGACTCATTCCAAATAATGAATTGAATTTTATATGTACACTAGACACATAAAAGATATTGTTTTCGTTTCTTATTTTTGTAACTTTTTAAATTTTGTAATTTTGTATTTTTAAAATGACAAATATGAATCAAATAGTTAATACAAAGTATCCTGGTGTGAGACACCTAACACATAACAGCAGCAGCAAAAGATCATTTTTTGTTCTTCAAGGAACTTTTAGAATTGTATACATAACATAGATATAATTTCTAATCATAATTTCTAGAATAGAAACATATTGCTCTCTTAAAAAGTGCATCTGTTATATCCAAATCTATTTTCAGCATTTTTCCTCTAATCCGGAAATTTTTCCAGACTAATGAAAACAAAAATTTCCTCTTACAAACAAGCTTTCGGGCAGTAGTTGTCAGTCAAATATATGCTATTCCTTCCCTCCAATGAGAACTCTCTCTGGCATTTAGGGGGAAAAGCAAGCTCTTAAATAGATTCAAACCATACGAAAACCAGGAATAGATGCAACCAGACACCTGCTGACAAACAGTGACAAATCCCACTGACACTGCAGTGACCCCCTGTTAGTCAAGATTTAATTAAGAGGCATAATTAAGTCAGTGGAACAGAACACTAATGAGTGTTTTTTTTAAATACGGGTAATTACACGTACAAATACAAAGTGTGATAGAGACCTAAATATATCATTAAAATGAATAGTATAGAATAACAGGGTGTTAAGCATGCCTCTTCTATTGCTGTTACCAAAAAAAAAAAAAAAAATTGTGTCTCAGGTTGAATAATACTCTGGCAAGTTTATGTTGGCCTCATGCTGGGAACATTTGTTATTCTAATTTTGCAACAATAAGCGACTATGTGTATTGAGATCCTGTTTTCAATGCAGATTCCATTGGCTTTGAAGTCTTTCTGCATTCAGCATTTTGTCCAACTGCAAATGAGCAATTAAGAGGCTGTTTGCAAGTATTTGGCTTCCTATGGATCAGCTTACAGGGGTGTCCATCTGAGCTGGGAGACTTTGACAGATGCAGAAGACAGGCGGGTGTTATTTACTAATTCAGAATGAGCTTCCATTGTAACTAGTTATGTGGGATTCTTTGATTTGGTCTTTGCTTTAGGCATTGGCATAACCCACAGGACTGTGGTCTATGGACTGGGAAATACCACAGAGGAAGGGAAATAGGACTGAAATAAAGTTGGTAACTTTTCAAACATGAGAAGGAGGCATTTAGGTCACCAGCTAAAATGACTAAAACCACCACATTTTTTTCTGTGATTGAAAAGCGTGCCTGTGCGCTTTGGGACCTGCCCTTCTGTTGGGAGTGTTTTAGGATGGTACCCCCAGCTGGTGGCCTGCAGTCCCTCACAGCCTTTTATCCATTTACCCAAGCAACAAGTGGAAAAGCAGATCCTTTTGAATGCTAACACTCCTCATTCAACTCTATGTGATTAGTGATTCGGAATCTTTCCTCTAAATTAGTGATTACATTTTCTTCCTGTGAGTAAACATGTTTCTCCAGTCTTAACGCTTCTGGTCTAACCTGTACTTTGCAATATTCCAGAGGAAAAGAAAGGAACATTTTTTTTTTTTAAATTTCAGCATATTATGGGGGTGTAAATGTTAAGGTTATGTATATTGCCCATACTCCCCCTCCCCCTAGAAAGGAACATTTTTATAATCTTATATTAAGATGGGGCAATGGCCACACTGCACCCTTCTACCGAGGGCTGTATAAATAGAGGGACTGGGATAAGGGTCCCTTGTAAGTACATGCGAAAAGTGTTTGTAATCTGTTGCACAGAAGTGCCTCTCATTCAAGAATTAAATTCCTACTGATATTCATATTATTAGATCAGTTGTCCAATATTAACTTCTTACAGATCAATGCCAATGTATCTATGATGATAACAGAATATTTCTCCAGGTGAAGAGTTTGTTTTTGACAAAGCTATTCAAGATAAAAATGTCCACACATTTTGATATTTCATAAAGTAAGTGGTTTGAGAATTCACCCAACGCCTGGGCAACGGAACACAAACGAACTGGAAAGAAAAATCACCTTTTGTTTAGATAGTGCAGTTTACAGAGCTCATTTTTCCTTAATGCTTGCCATAAAAATAAGCATTCTCTGACAAGGCTGGTATATCACAGTTATCAGGAATTATAAAGTCAAAGATTTTATACATACACACCCCAAACCAGAGTTAATAATTAATTTCAAAATACCATGAATTGATGCATAACAGAATTCCAAATATTCTCATGAATATTAAATCTGCGGACATCAGGAAGCTGAGGCTAAGTGATCTTTGCAGTCTGAGACTCTGTGGTACAACTTTTGAGAGGCCACACAAGGTTAACTCAAGTGACTGGTTCCATTAATCTAGTGACCAATTCTATTCATTTGTAACATTTGAGTCATCAGACATATTTCTTGGTAGAACTGCCTGATGGTTCTTGTTAGGCAAATTAATCACTGATCTCTGCGTAAAGCATCTTTTTTCCACCTATCTGTTCCCACCTTTTCTCCAGGCCACCTCAAACTTCAGGAATACAGTAAAAAAAACAAACAGAGAAAGCCATTTGTTAGTAGCTTGGGGGAAATGCGAAACAGTTATAAAAGTCAGAGCTGTCTGACAGTCTGTCTCTGATGTAAGCAACTTTTGAGGCCCAAATGACTGAATTTTGGACTGAGCTCGTCTCACCAGACGGACACACATGTGTGATTCCTAACATCCCTTTCACCTCTCCCCCCCCCCTTTTTTCTCTTTTTGCAAGGCCACCCTTATCAAGTTATGTATGAATGAACAGAAGTGCCTTTCATCCCCCACTTGCCTCGCGGTTCAAAAGGAGCTACTAAAATAGCAGCGACAAGAACCCAGCAGCCTGCCAGGAGGCTCGCACACATCCCGGCCTGAAAGGCATGTGAAAGGTTGGGGAGCTCAGCAGAATTTTTATGTACGGGAGCAGACCCAAGGAAAACTCACACGCCATAACCAATTGTGAACAGAGGATCATCTATCAGCAGACAAATGCAGGAACTCCAGAATGTCTCTCCTCAAATGAAATAATATATCTTTGAAAGCCAATGCCCGTTTTAGGCCCGAGGCCCATATATCAAGCCTGAGAGGCTTGTGGAATCGCTCCAGGGCCATTAACCTTCCACCTGTTTCCCCTTGTCCTTCAGGATGAGACCCTGCCCTTGATTTTCCTCCCTTCCCCTGTTCATCTTCTGGCCGAGTGTAAATGTAAAGCAGCGGGCCTGCGAAATAATTCAAAGGCAATGGACCAGGGGCACGGTTACAAATCTCTGCCACTGGCACTGTGACTTATGCAGGCAGTTTGTCACACATGAGCCAGGTGACCTCTGTGACATAACAGAGAAAAATATCGCCGGAGATCAAAAATGGGATTCGGAGCGCACTAAGTAACTCTGCTCTGCCGGGTGGGTGGGTGGGTTGTAGGGTAGCCAAGGATTCCCCCTTAGACCAAGAACATCTGTCCTTAGAGAAACAGAAAAGGTGGCCCCAGGACTCCCTAACTGAAATCATTTTCCTCAGGTAGAATTGGGGGCGTCCCTGTAACCTCAGGCTTAGCTTTTCTCCTTTCTTGATCGTGCCTGATCGTTGCTGTGAATGCCAGAAACAGGCAACGTAAATCCATCTGATCCTACCTGAATGCAGAGAAATTAATAGAATTTGAAAAACATAAAAGTGAGATCCTGAAGAATTTGTTAGCGTGAGTACTTAAAAGCTATAGTAAGAAAGGTAAAAAGAAAAGTTTTACTAGAGCTTATACATTTACTAGGTGAAAGTGGTTTAGTAAATATTTTGAGACTTACACTATTCATTAAAATGAATCACAGATGCTTACTGTGTAGCATTGAGAAAAGGAGAGTAAAGAATCTAATGAGATCGCATGGATAAAGTGACTTTAAGAAGTTCAAAGCATTCTCCAAATGATATTAGAATTTAGGAAAACATAAGATGACCCATGAATGGCTTAAAAAAAGAAGAGATGTATAGCGGAAGAAAATTAGCAGTTTAAATATTCATAAATCTGAATTAGAACTAACTTCTAGTTTGTATTTATTACATAAATTATGGTTTTCACCAGTCATTTTGGGCATTCACGTATTATCTGTTGCATCCAGAAGATGGATAAGACCTTGAAACAGTCCTCCCTAAGCCTCTTGTCTTTTTGTTAGGAGCATTTAGTTTTGATTTTTTAATTAAAATAACAATAACAACAATTAGTTTTAGTTCACTGGTAGAGAGATGCAAGCTCACCTAAGTTCCTTCACTTCCTGTTCTAGAGCAAGGACCAGCTGGAATGTGAGAGAGAGATTTCCCTGGTAGCCCTAAACTCCAGATACACACACAGCAGTGCCTCTTTCCCAGGGTGTCTCCGATTTTTTTCTGTGGGCCACCTCCCTCCTCAAGCTTGCCAATACCAATATTAAATTTCTATCATGTGGAAATGTCCGAAAATAAAAATATAAGCAACTTGTTTTTTTTAATAAATTAGAAAGTCCTCGTGCCACAGTTGGGAGCAATTGCAAATGCCTGCTTAAATCTGCACAGAAACGTGAGGATTCTAACCTTCCTCAGGTAGGTTCTTTACTTGAGGCTGTTACTAGGTTTCATGAGGCCTGTGAAGCCCTAGGATTGCCTGCAAAATTTTTCTTTATGCATTTTTTAGGGAAGGTTAATAATAGCTTGCATCAGATACTGGAAGGTAGTTATGATCCAGAGAATGTTAACAGTGACTGTAAAGAGTAAAATTTGAAGCTCTAAACTAGAATCAAAAACTGTGAGGACCCCAGAGCCCCTCCAGCCAGACCCGCCCTCCTGCAGGTGAGAAAAGGCAGCCAACCAAGCAGAGCTGCACAACTACGATTTAGTAAAACAACAGCCAGTGAAAATTGGTCAGTGAAACTCCAGACTCTTGCTTCCTAATCGAGGACCTCTTCCACTCCATGTGATACCAATCTTTCCTTTGGCTGTGGTATAAAAGCCAAATTTTGTTTTATGTCCCTTAAAATAATTTTTTCTGTGATGTAGAAACCTAATTATGAGAATTACATGTTTTTCAAAGAACATAAAACATTTTGTAATTACAGCCTTAGGCATCTGTTGGTATGAATAAATGTTAAATGACTTTCATTTATAGATTAAAAAATTTGTTTTTCTAAAAAAAAAAAAAACAGCTCTAGTGGTAGATAGTAAGCCTTGAATTCTTGTTAGGTTTCCTTCCTGAAAATGACAGATTGTGTACATGTCACATGACATGGTGTGCCTAATTTTCAAGGAGCTTTGTTGTATCTATTTCATTGTAAGTGCATGTTAAGCGTCTCGATAATTAATATTTAATTTACACAAATAAATCCATTGTCCCTTACAGTAAATATGAGTTAGTGGATGCTCTTTTATAATATTTATGAAAATCTCAAACCAAGATCATACCATGCCATCTATTACCAAAAAAAAGTTTCTACTTAATGTTTGATTATATTAAATTTTCTAATACTTCCAAATAATTAACGAAAATGCTAAGCAAGTCATGTTGTTCATTTAAGTAGCAGCTTTGTACTTGCTCAACAGCAAAAACACTACATCTGAAAAAATGTCGACTGCTCTCAGAATCATCAAACTAAGGCATTTAATATTTTCAGCAAGCCACCTAAATTGGTTACTCCTTTTAGAGGAGAGTACAGGACAAAAAAATGGAAAAGATATTCTAATAGTAAGTTATCCTAAAATGTTTAAGCCACTAATGTTCTATGATTTAAAACAAATAAAATATGGTTAGCTTGTAGCCAAGGGAAAAAAAAAATTCCTGGGCATGAATCATTGCTTACATTCTTTTCCATCCACAAACAATTTCATTTGGGAAAGTTGCCACATAGTATCGACAGTGACAACAAATGGCATTGTCCCGTGAACATCTGTTTCCGACTCCCACACTGATACTGCAGGCTGGGCACTTAGGAGTTAGTTGGTCTTCACAAGTTGCTGAGCTACAAAGGAACTGGAAATCACTGGTACGTTGAGGTTTTATTATTGGAACACAGGAAAACTTTATCATCATGCTGGGAAGTTCTGTATCTTTTGAAATATTGGAACCGGGGTTATGTTAGCACATTAAGCCATGCGGAAGACTACTTCTGAAGAAAGGGGAGGAAAAAAAATTGTTTCTTGTCTATTATGTCCTTGGGTTGAGGTTCCCACTCAATCTTCATATAACTTCCTTACCCACCCTCAGCTGAAAACTATTTTGTTTTTTAAAAAATGCTCTGGCGTTCAGCTTCTTCTTAAAATTGAGAGAACAGAATACCAAAGGAATCCTAAGCTAAACACGATAAATAAACACTATTGTTTCTTAACAAAAAAACCAAATGAAACCAGAAGAGCTTTTATATACACTTTTTATTTTTTCTAAGTTCACACTACCCTGCTTATGTTTTCTGAAAACCTGGCAACGTAAGGCTCATAATGACTTCGGACTAGAATCTCCTGACCTCAGCTCACAGTGGCAAAAGAAGGGCAAAGAGCTGCTGGGGAAAAGCCAGCAAGAGTGGGATAAGGGGGGAGGTGGTGAGCAGACAGACAGGGACCCTGCCTTCGCTGCTGAACCTGCGCTTCGGGGCTAACGTGTATGCTGGTCTATCAATAACCATGCAAGAGCACAGGACAGATACCCACCCTGCTCTACACCTTTTCTCGGTGTGGCATTTAGTTGTAGCAAAAGCAGTAATGGAAGTGAAAGCTATTCACAATGATACTTCTAAATCAATGTATATTCACACTATTTACATGCTCCAAATGAATTTGCATATTGCTGCAGCTAAGAGGCTTCCCTCTTTTGGGGGGTTAAAAATAGGAAATGTTGAGTGGAATATGCAACCAACGTCTGACTTGCGTAAGATTTTTTAAATCTTTCCTTCCAAATCGACATATTAGAGCATGTTCCAGAAGACATTGTTTACCTCGTTTGGCATTGCACAAAATAGGCACTGGCGCTCAAAAATATATTTGTTAAATAGATCACTAAATGAAATAATCACAGAGCTGTCTGGTTAAAGATAGGACAATAATAGATTCCTACTGGAGAGAAATGATTCTAGTACTTATTTTGCCTAGAATATATTTCACCAGAATACACATATAGCTTATGTTTTAAAAAATAATCTAATTATTATTAAATACCACTTCTTCATAATTTCACATGCTGAAAACCACTACAACTGTAACTATAAAATAATCATTCAGACTATCCTTACTACTTATGAGAAAATATATCTGCATTTGGAGTTTTTCCTTCATTCAATTCCAGTCCATACTGATTTTTTTTAAAAAGGCCAAAGTACTTGATTGTATCTTATACTCAATTCTCAAATAATTGCACTTATTTCAATGGTAGACTGTCATACAAAGAAAAGGAAAATAATAGCACATGTATAATTAGTCATCAAAACAAACATTTTAATAAACAGGCAATCAAAAATTAGACATAGACCTGTAATATTCATGCATATGAATCCTTTTATCACAAAAAAAAGAAAAAATTGGAATTTTATGTTAGATAGGACAATAATAGCCTATGTTTACATGTGCTTTTGTGTTTTTCAATATACTGTTGCCATGTCACTGGCTCCTCACAAGGCCCTTGGAGGACAGGTAAGGACAGCCATTCGCATCCAACTCAATCCTGAAGATTGAGTTAATTCAAATGGTGCTACACCTGCAGTTTTCCCTGCTACCCTCTCCACAGACAGAGCAGTTCTGTTCTCTGTTCTAACAGGTCTCCTCTCTACTACACACCCTTTGTAAATTCTAATTGCGTGTTTACAAGTGTCTCCCCCAGCTGTGCCTGGCTAGTAAGAAAGGACTAAGTATTTTAATTGATCTTGTATCCCTAACTGCTTTGCACTGTGCCTGGTATATTGGGGGGCTCCATTTATGTTTGCTGCATTAATTAATCAGAAAACTGTGGCTCAGAGAGGATATGCGTGTGCGTGTGCACGCGTGTGCGTGTGCATACACAGGTGTGTACCCTCCATATCTGTGAATTCTGCATCTTCTGTATCCATGGATTCAACCATGGATTGAAAGTATTCGGGAAAAACAGTTGCATCTGTACTGAACATGTGCAGACTTTTTCCCCTTGTCATTATTCCTTAAACAATGCAGTGCAATAACTATTTACATAGCACTTACATTATGTTAGGTATTATAGGTAATCTAAAGAAGATTAAAAGTATATGAGAGGATGTACATAAGTTATATTGCAAACACTAAGCCGTTTTTGTATCAGAGACTTGAGCATCCTTGGATTTTTGGTGCCTGCAGGGGGTCCTGGAACCAATGCCCATGGATACCAAGGGATCACTGTACACATATACACTTACATGTATGTATATAAACGCTTTGACCCAATGCCATAAAGCTCGTTAGTGGTCCAGGCGAAACAGAATTGACTCTTGGTCCAAGGCTGTCCATTATGTACTACTTCTTCCAACTTAATTGGCATTAACTGATCTTTTATAGCTGCAATCTGATAATAACCAAATAAGTTAACAAAAAGGCAAGCAATCAGTGCTGATTTTAGTAAGGAAGTAAAGATAAAATTCTTCATCACACCTTGTCTCACCCAGAGGAAACATCAGCCTGCCAATTTTACAAACATGCCAGTAAAAGAATTTCCTTGGCAAACTGACAGCATGGAAATGTCCTTTTTAAAACTCAATTAACCCCCTAAATTCATGAGCTTGCTAGAAACATCTCTTATGCCATGGAATACAAGGCTCAGGGAGATGCTCTTCCCCTTTCTATTTCTGGACATCTTCTTTTGTTCATGCTCGCTAATAATAGTGGCAGAGCTAGGGTTGGCTATTTATAGACCTGAAAGCAGCATGACTCTGTGAACACTTTATTCATTTATATTTCCTGTGTTTATTGTTACCTTACCTTTTTAGTAATTAAAAGTGTTCATCCAAGATTTTATTTAGTAACAAATCAGTTGTAAATAGCTTTTCTTTTAATATATGAAAGCCTATATATAGACTCAATAAAATATTTTACTCCCATTTCCTTATTAACTAAAAACAGATTTCAATGGGGGGGAGGGGGGGAGAACAGTAAACAGCTGTGTTTTCTTTCCAAATTTTATATAAAATCCAATTATTTGACCTTCAGGTGTTTTGATTAAAAGAGTCTCACTTTATGTGGTAACTCACTCAAATGTAGATATTGAAGCAAAATTACTACTATAGCCAACATACTTATATTTATTAATCAGACTATAACTTTAAAATATATCTGATTGTTATATAATATGGTTAGAAAATATAATGTTAAAAAATGCATCCTCTGCTCCATAAAAAATTGCTAGCTAGAATACAGGGTCTCTAAAAACAGTCCCACTAGGACTTCCATTTGAAACCAATGGGTGCTCTGCTCTAAGCAGCACTCAAAACCAGAAAGCTCAGCTTTGCCAGTTACTTCTGCTATTCCCTTACCTTGATTTTTGATAAGCGAGTTAGACCCAATCCCTTTATAAGCAGCTCCTAGTGAAGACAGTCACATCAAACATCAATCCATTTCTATACCACATCTAAGACATCAAAAATGCACATTCTGTCAGCCTCAGCCAGCATTCCATATCTGCCGTGCCATTCATTACGTAATACAGACTGTTCACATCACAAAGTGAAACTCAAGAGAGTTCGTATGCACCTATTTTAAAACAGACCAATTTTTAAGACCCTCAGCACACAGTATCTGCTACATAACACGATGGGCTCTGTCTCCGAGAGGGGAAGTGCCTGGTAACACAGGTGGTGTCCGGGTCTGCTTTTCCTCACAGCCTCAAAACCCGCTAGCACAGAGACAATTAGGGTTTTAATCTACTATAGTCTATTTAGGAAAATAATCAGCAGTTAATTAGAGCATTCAATCTCAAAAGCTCTCTTTCAATAAAAGCATTTTTTACTCCTTTGCTCGAAAACTGATCAAACTAAGAGATTCAGCAAAAGTGGGAGCAATTATGTAAACATTTATTCACCAATACTCAATAAGGGATGATTTAGCTACTGGATTTACCCTGTGCTCAAATGCAATGGAACAATAGATTTTAGGTGCTGTTAAGTGCCATTTTGATGTGTTTTTGTCTAAGGTTTTGTTTTGTTAAAGTTAACGCTAAATACTTCTTAGCTCAGAAACCATTGTGAGGCATTACATCTGTGCAGCAGAGTGCATTCAGATCTAAGCTAATTATTGATATTTTAGGGGATTTCCCCCCCTATCTGCTGAAGTGAAATCAGATAGGGTTCAAAGCTGTGGAAAAATATACAGCAAAAACACATGAAATAATATTCTGTGGATATTAACTCCTCTCTCTGATAACTGTTTTGTCTGGCACATTTGATTTATAAATCAAAGAACATTAATCAAAATAGTTCTACAAATGATTTGACTTAGCTTGAATTCCCAACTAGTGAGCCATCTGAGTAAATAATTCCTAATCAACTGCTCAAGAAAGATCATCTCACAAAAAGACATATCTGGAAACATAGTTTTGTTTTCATTTCAAAAGATAAACTCATTTTCACTCTCTCTTACAAAGAATGCCAACACATTTCTATTATTCCCCACAGATTCTTCCAGAATCCTCTCATTTACTGGAGAACCTGAGCACACAGGCGGTCGCTGTGCTACGTGTCATAACTGCTCGTGTACAAACACAGCCAGGTGTGGCACCTTCCCACGGGGTGAAAGCCAGCAACTTAACCCAGCTCTACGTCAGACTGCTTTACACATTTGTTAGATTTCCTGAACAGATTTTTGATGAAAGGTTCTTATGCAGGAAGTCAGTGAAATCTCCTGATTGATCGTTTCATTTAAAAAATATATTCTTGACGTATTTAGAAACAAAAATCATCAAACACTCCAAAATATGTGACTGGCTCACAGAATTTCTTGGGCTGCCTTCTCTCTTTACCTTAATGACTCTTCAAACCAGAAGACAATGAAAGCCCAAACCCACCGCAAATGCACAGAGGGGCTTTGCTATCCATTCACTTAACTAACATCTACTGACAGCTTATCATGAACAGGAAAGTAGATGCCTGTGACAAATTACCTAAAACCAATTGTGGACAAAACCACGTACGATTTGTATCAGTCACACTACCCCAAACAGCAAGTGCTCAAGAAACTTTGTTTTTCTGGCAATATTAGAAATTAACAAAGATCACTTTTATTTTTAACTTTCACAAAGCCTTTTTTATTTATATCAAACTTGGAGATCTGGACAGCAAAGTCTTCATCAAAATGTCTCTAACATTCCATCTTAAAGCCAACCAGACTTCATCTTAGAAAAAACGACTCACGGACACATGTATAGTATTGAGACATAATTAGAGAGGATGTTTTCCAATGTTCCTCTTAATTAGTCACTTAAGAATTCTAATCTTTTTACTTACACGTAAAGGGCAAGACTGGGTAAATAAAATCAAACAGGAAATGTGAGATTATTTAGTAGTTTATTATGTTATCCCTCTTAAGAATAGCAAAATTGAATTTCTGCAGTAGGAAGGACCCCCACGACCTTTATGATGGGCTTCATAATCTCACCATAGGAAACCCCACATTTTCCTAATGAGGTCACCGTGAAATCTGCATCTATACACAACACTGCCGCCGCTGGAGGGAGCGAACTCTTCAAGAGCCCTTCATGCATCACAACCGAAACAGAATCTAAGGCGTGTTCTACGTGCATCCTGGCTCGGCATAGCTATGGCGACCCGTGCCCTTCCCTCCTGCGTCCGCCAGCTGCCCCGGGTCCCCACCCTCAGCCTGGCCACTCAGCACCCCTGTGTGCCCCGCGGGGACCCGGACAAGGCCCGGGTTCCGGAGCCGGCCTCAGTGCTAGCACAGGTTCCGAGTCAGGTCACACAGTTGTGCCCCTGGTACAGTGACGCTCCACCCCTTTGCCATTAGAGGGAATCAAGGACTGTGTTCTTCATGTCTTGAAACTCTATGCCAAGAGTGACCCAGAGAAGCTCTCAGTAAATTCTCACTTTATGAAAGACAAGGGCTTAGAGAGTTTGGACCCAGTGAAGATCATCATGGCCATGGAAGATGAATTTGGGTTTGAAATTCCTGACACAGGCTGGGCGCAGTGGCTCACGCCTGTAATCCTAGCACTCTGGGAGGCCCAGGCAGAAGGATTGCTCAAGGTCAGGAGTTCGAAACCAGCCTGAGCAACAGTGAGACCCCCATTCTCTACTAAAAATAGAAAGAGATTAATTGGCCAACTAAAAATATATATACAAAAAATTAGCCAGGCATGGTGGCTCATGCCTGTAGTCCTAGTATTTTGGGAGGCCAAGGTGGAGGGATCACTTGAGGTCAGGAGTTCGAGACCAGCCTGAGCAAGAGTGAGGCCCCATCTCTACTAAAAATAGGAAAATTAGTTGGGCGTGGGGGCACACATTTGTAGTCCCAGCTACTCGGGAGGCTGAGGAGAAGGACAGATTGAGTCCAGGAGTTTGAGGTTGCTGTGAGCTATACTGACACCATGGCCTTCCAGCCTGGGCAACAGAGCGAGACTGTCTCAAAAATAAACAAATTCTTAGGGTAAGGAGAGTGAAGTAGAACTAATGGGATTGGGTCTGGTACCAGCCAGTCTAGATGAGGTAAAGAGGAGCAGAATGGTTAGGGCTGAATAGCCAGAGTGTCTAATTACGCTGTAAATGTTGAGCTCAGCTGATGGAAAAGTTATTTCTTTAGTCGACAGGCATGACTGTCTTGAAAGTCCCAAAGCCAATGGGAAATTATTTTTAGAATGAAAGACTCTGCAGAATCCAGGTATAGTGGCTCACATCTATAAACTCAGCACTTTGGGAGGCCGAGTGAGGCAGGAGGGTGGCTTGCGGCCAGGAGTTCAAGACTAGCCTGGGGAACATAGTGAGATGCTGTTTCTTAAAACATTTTTTAAAAATTGGCCAGACATGGTTATAGCTACTTGGGAGGCTGAGGCAGGAGGAACTTGAGCCCAGGAGTTTGAGATTACTGTGAGCTTTGATCACACCACTGCACTCCAGCTGCGCAACAGAATGAAACTCTGATTAAAAACAAACAAAAAACTAGAAATCTCAGTAAGTGTGTCTGGGGGTTAAAATCTATTTCAGTCAATTTGGGTAGTCTAGACTTAGATCCTATTAGATCAAATTTTAAAATATTATCATCTATGTACATTTCTGTTTTTATTCCCACCTCCTCCCGGGCCACATGATACTCTAGACATGAAATGCCTTAGCAGAACTGCAAGTCAGACACGAATTTACCTGAAACTAATGAGCTGGAGCTTCGAAAACCCTCACCTGCACAAGCACTTCCAAGGCTCTTCGAGGGGCTCAAGCGGTATGTATGCACAAGGTCCAATGTTTTTGTAAAATATGCAAAGGAGAGAGATTTTTGCATTCTCTTTCATTAAGAGTTTCCTAAATTGTATAAGCTTTAGGGTCCACAAAGACGGGATCAATTTCTGCTGCAAGGGACCACTGGCTTGAACTAACAAGTGAACTGACAAGAAGCTCTTTCAACTACGGAAATATTAGACAATATAATATCAGTTTGGGTTTTTCCCCCCAAATGCCTAGAAGTAAATTAAGTAAGGTACTAAGTAGTGGGAAAGTAAGTCCTGTTGGAATATTGTGAGACTTAAGAATGATCATAGATGAAATACTCGCTGCTATTAGCAGGGTTATTGATCCTGATGTGTATGACATACTTATGCTCATCTATAATTTTGTAGATAAATCCCTGGATTTGTTTTATAATCCAAACCCCGACACCGGTCTGCCCCAAGGGGAGAGAAGCCTTGGAAAAAGTGTAGCTTGGATATCTTGTGCTACTACTGAAAAGAAAGTTGAAAGAGTTCTTAAAAAAAAAAAAAGCAGCAATGATGATTAACGTATTAAAAATGAAGCTTAGAAAAAACATTTTAAATAACTAGCAATTTTGCCCTCATCAAAAGGACTACAGAGGAGAACAAACTGATTCTATGTCAAGTCCCTGCCACAAATCTTGGATCAAATTCTTCTATAGCATCCACACCGGAGTGAGAAAATACTTTTAAAGGTAACATCTCATACTTTTAAAATAAGGAGTTTGATGTTTCCCGCTTCCTTGAGCTCATAGCCAGTCTTAGAACCAGGAAAGTCTAGGGGGGAAGAACTAAAGGTTTTCAGTCTTTATTTCCCTGTGCAACGACCCGACCGAATTTGCAGCCTGGTCAGTTGGTGCCTGCAAAGGGGGCCAGTCTTAACTAGACCCCTCCGTCTTAATTCTGAAGTTTAGACTCCCCTAAAGACTGAATACTTTTAGGTTTTCATGTAGCTGCAATTCAACAAGTAATCATAGCAAAGGGTAACCACGTGTCCCATCTCTCTCTACTGACAGACCCAAAGGGAAGGATTTAAGTTTTCCATAAAAAACTATCTTGACTGCTGCTAAACTCTGAAATAGGTTGTAGGGGACTTATAGAGGACGACCCCTAACCTTGAGAAATCTTTGGGAAGAGCTTGAACTCTTATGTGCATGGAGTGGCTTAGCTGTGCTCTCTTGAATAAAAATAAGGACTAGAATAAACCTACGGTTCCCAAAGGGGGCGTCTGAGAACCAGCCCTGGCATCTGGAGATCTCTGTTAGGGGAGCTTTTTAGAAAAAGTGCAATGCTTGCCCCTAGAAACCCCTTCTCCACAAATGGCTCCCAAGGGCTTAAGCCAAAAACTTTAGTATTGCCTGTTTTATCTTCTATTCTCAAAGTCCTTTTGGCGAATTCTATCACCTTTACCTTAACGTGAATCCTGGGTCCATCGGCTTCTCCCCCAGCTCCTCTCTTGCGCCCTCGTCTAAACCTCCACCAGCCTCTCGCCGGGGCTGCCTGCCCTCCTATATCCTTTCTTGCTTTCCTTCCACATTTTTCCCACCTGCAGCCGGAGCAGTATTTTCTCTAATGAGAATTTGGTGGACTCAGTCCATTGCTTAAAATCTCCCTGTGGTTTCTTATTCCCATCAGAATAATATGCAGGTGCTTCATGGGCTAGACCTTGTCAAACCCTTCGACTTTATCAGGAGCCACTATCCCTCCTCAATCACTGGTTCTGAGGCTCAGTGACCTTGCTTCATCGTTCTTGAAAATACTGAGCTGGTTTCCACCTCAGGTGCCTGGACTGTCGTGTCTCCAGGCCCAGCAAGGCTGTTTCTTTCTTGCCGTTTAGATTTCAGCTGAGGTGTCAACTCTTCATACTGGTCTCCCCTGAATCACTCTAATGGCTCCCTCCTTCCCCGCTCACTTGTTTGTTCTTTCAGTGAGCACTACCTTGGTTGGCCTGTTTATCCTCTGCTTCCCTCTCACTACCGTGTGAGCTGTGAGCGGCGATAAAGGCAGTGCCCTTGTTGATCTTGTTCACCACAGTATCCATCCCCTGGTCTAGAGCACAACTGGACACACACAGAATGCTTAATTCATATATGTTGAATGAATGAATGAATGAATGATTGATTCATCCCCTTTAGGTGGATAGCCCCCCTCAGTGTGTACAGACACTGGACGGTTGACTTGGTGACATTAAATCAATGACTATGAAATAAACAGCAGTAAATCAATGTGAGGTTAAAAAGAGAGAAAAAAATATAATACTGTGTGGCTCACGCCTATAATCCTAGCTCTCTGGGAGGCCGAGATGGGAGGATTGCTCAAGGTCAGGAGTTTGAAACCAGCCTGAGCAAGAGTGAGACCCCATCTCTACTATAAATAGAAAGAAATGAATTGGCCAACTAATATATATAGAAAAAATTAGCCGGGCATGGTGGCTCCCAGCTACTTGGGAGGCTGAGGCAACAGGATTGCTTGAGCCCAGGAGTTTGAGGTTGCTGTGAGCTAGGCTGATGCCACGGCACTCACTCTAGCCTGGGCAACAAAGCGAGACTCTGTCTCAAAAAAAAAAAAAAAAATATATATATATATATATATATGTATATATATATATATAAAATATGGGATTTATCAACAAAAAAAAAGAGGAAAAACCTTTTTGATCAAAAAAATATTATACTGAAAAAATTTTAAACCATTACCTTGATTTAAATTTAACATGAAACAAGGACCTCAAATATATACATGTCACCAATAACCAAAATTTACCTACAAGAGAAAGGCCTGTTGGAAACAATAAGCAAAATAACTACGCATACAAGAGGTGCCAACTCTATACCTTCTTTACAACAACAAAGTTTAAGCAATACATAAAGAAAACATAGAAATGCACTTTCAGCCAAATGCTGGCAAACAAAGGAAAACCTATACCAGAACCCAAATCATGAAATTAGACGGCAGGCATGTGTCCAGTAGTTATTATGGATTCTGATATATTTTCAATCCTTCCGGTTCCCCCCTGCTTAAATCCCTCTGATGGCTTCCCTTTCCCTTAGATAAACTCAGTATTTTGAAAGCCTTACGCAAACGCCCCGCTCTTCTGTCCGGCTTTACCTCTCGCGCTCTTCCCCATACTTGATCCTCCAGCCCTGGGAATTGCTCCACGTTGCCACAAAGCGCCATGCCCACACCTCTCTACTTTTGCACAAGCCTGAGCCCCTCACTCCCACTTGCCCATCTGGTTCAAAACTCCTGCTCATCCTTCAAGACCCCTCTTGGTTATTTTCTCCTTTCTTGACCACACTCTCCCCTCCCCCACACTCTTGGTTAGGTACCCCTCAAAGGGCTTGCACTACCTTCTAGGCAAACCTGCCTCCTCTTTACATTTTAGTCATTACTGGACTAATGCAGTGTTTCTCAGGGGTTGGCTTGTTGTCCTGAGAATTAAATTGTACTTTTTGGTTCAAATAGAATCTTAAACATTGGTGTGAGCATAGTAGGTCTGATCATGCAGGTGTTGTCATAGCCTTGTCCTCACACAAAACTTCCAGGTCAGTTTGCTGTGGTGTTTGCTGCTGCATCGATGCCAGGGAGGGGTTCCACATTAGTTGGGGAAAGTGCCACTCGGACTTAACATGTGTAAAGTGAAGACTGCATTTGTCTTTATCTTTAGCAATTTAGCACAGGGACTGACACACAGTAGGAATGCAATAAATGCCCGCAATGAATGAGTGAGTGAATAAATCCTGAGTCAGAACTATTCATTTATAGCAGAAGTGTTTTAGGGGCAGCTCTGAGAATGTGCTTCAACTCTAAAGCGGAATGCAGCATCCCAGCAAAACGTGGGCGTAATGTGTTTTGATCCTTTTCAGAAGCTGAACTCTCAGTTGGATCTTTCCAAACACGTGACTGAAATGGAGTTATGTCTTTGAGATTGCAACACTTCATTGATAAAACCATAAAAGTAATTCTCAATGGTCAAATAAAACTCCTTCCATGACATTCATAACCACAAATACCAACACGTGAGCGTAAAATATTAATGTTTTCAAAGCATGTCATTCCTCACAAAAGTGAACCAGGACCATTGTTTTTACTGCAAATATCTGGTGTGATTTGAACTTAGTGTCAACAGCAATATTATTGTGTGCAAAGCACCTTCTCGCCACTTAATTTAGGTGCCAAACAGATCCATAAGTTTTTTTCCTCCAAAGCTGGAGCAAGAATCAATTAGAGTCTGTAATAATGTGTTAACTAGCTAATACCACAGTTAACATTAAGGGGCATTTCAAGCCTCAGAGTTTTCAGCAGTAGTTAGAGCTTTTCTTTCATTAAATCCGTAAGATCTATAATTGAAAGAACACTCTGAGAGATGCCTTTCATCAGCTCCACGAGTTACATTTCCTGCTTTGATAACTGTACAAGGAAAATCTAAGGCACTTCAAGCCACCCAATTACGTTTGATTAGCTAGTCAAAATAACGTAACAGCTTTTCATCACCCAAAGGAAAACTTTTGAAGAATTCTGCTGCCAACATTTCTTCGCAAACACTCATCTATATCATTATTTTATAAGGGGAAATGTAATATTTAGTTAAGTTTTTTAAAAAATTAGGCACTAATTAAAGCCTCTTATTCATCACAACTTCAGATCAAAAAGGCCCGACTGCGACGACATTATGTGGGTAGTAGAACAGCATTTGTAGCCATCTCAGAGTCGACAGGATACAGGATACAGTGGTCACAATGAAACAGGCGGCCTTAAACTGAGCCGACCGTTCAGAGAACACGTCTGAAAACAGGATATGTGCTGAAAGCTCTATGATAGAGACACAGATTTGGCAGGGAAAAATTATTTGCAACCCCAAATCTTTGCATGTCACTATTTTTCTAGCAAATGAATGTTGAGTGTGCCTGTCTAAAAATCAGGAGCACTAATTAGGAAGTCATCTAAAACATCATTCTAAGAATTTTCAGGTTATTGAGAATATGTACTGAGTGTGGTTTAAAAGTAAAGCCAAGATGCATAGGTATTGCCCTCACCACTGAGGAGTTTGTGTCCCGCCTTGAAGTTTTGAGCACATCAGTTCAACATGTATCCAGTGTCTACGATGTTTCATTCCCATAAAAATATGTTTTTAATTTAAATGAAATAATTATACTGCTCTCTCAGGTAAGTCATGTTGTAAACAGGGCATTTAGAAATGTGATAGTCAATTCATAGGAGGTGGCCCTGCTGTGGACTTCACAAACCAACAGTCCTGAACTACTGATGAAAGACCAGTTACATCCATGCTCCCAAAATGAAAGACAGAGACCAGGACTTTAAAGGCACCAGTCTGAGATTGCATTCCACCTTTGCTATGCTCTTATTGCACAATAACGGACAGACTTTAGACCTATTGGCCAATTATTCCATCTGTCATGTAAAGAAAAGGCATTCTTATGGAATTAGAAGTTGGATCAAGTTTGGTTGTAACATTAATCCCCACTGTTGTGCAATCTGAGTGGCGTTTCCAGACACACAAGATAATGTGGTTTTCTTTTAGCTGTTGTAGAGAAATGGTCAGCAGCAGCGCTCCATAAGCCCTGTGTACGTCACACTTAATCTTTCTCCTCTAAGTTTCTGGCTGTTCCCTCACAGTACAGCACAAGCAAAGAATTCACAGAATTGGTCCTCCTCAGTCAAAAACATAGCATTTGAAAATTATTTCCAAGCAGCAAATTACAAGTGAGGAAAACACTGGTGACCATTAGTGGCACTGTGTGGAGATGTGGCTTATGAGATTTAAGTAGAACTTCCTTGCTGTGCACAAAAACCCTCACAACTACTTGAAAACAAGAGAATTTCAGAGTTGACTTTGTATGAGCAGGTGGGATTCGTACCTACTCAACTTGCTACGTCCACCCTCAGTATTCTTTCTCGCCCTTCCTAACCCACTGAAGCTGAACTGCCATCTCCAACAGAAAATGCCTGCATGGAAGTCACCTTGTAGGGTGGAAGGAACAGATAGAAGTTCTATCGACTATCACTAAATACAGCCCATCTCTGGGGTCTGTCAGTCCTCTGTTCCCCCTGCCTTCTCCACTCATCCTCAGACCTGCGGACTCTGAGTCTTCCTTGCTCAAGCACATCCCATCTGAAGGGTGGATGCAGATCTAGCTGAGGACAGGGGTAGCAACCATTTGGTTCCTGAAACCACACTGCTATAGAAGGTAGTACCCAAGGGTGTCCCTGGGATCCTGGGGCATAAGATGGGAAGGGAAAAAAAGTAAATTGAGTCAGAAGAGAGAGAAAGTAAATTGGGTCAGGACAAGGAGAAAGGGAAGAAAGTGGAATAAATAAAAAGAAAATGATGCAGAAGATTAGAATTTCTCCAAGAGAGTCGGCCAGGGCCCCCGTGCCGTTGGCTGCCCGAGCACTCGCTCATCCAGGAGAGTACGGGAGTGCAGAGGGGAATTAGGTTTAAGTATCAGACATTCATGAAATACCCAGCTGCCTGCCGGAAGAGGTGCTGTAGGTGTCGTTTATGTTATTCTTGACGGTGGGTGGTATTCTTGGGTTAGAGATTAATGTCTTTAACGTGAAGACTGGTTTAAGTGCCCAATTTCCATGCAGCCATTCTGCAAATGGATGTGGAGCTTTCAAAGATTTGTATGATCTACTTCCCAAGCTGTAGAAGAGTCAGTCAGAGCAAAAAGTCATTCTTTACTTATCCTGCAAAATAGAAAAATCTATTTTACCTCAGAGGTTCAGAGGGCAAAGTCCTTCAGAAGTATGTTAAGGGGTGTCACAGAAGAGTCATGTTTTTTGGTTTTTTTTTAACCCGTTGCCTGACTTTGTATGACAGTATACAGACAGGGAACCGGGGGCTCAGACTCAGCGAGTTCTACCTCCCCCAAACCGAGGGACTAACTCTGGCAGGACTTCCACACGGTCTGTGAGCAATTTGTGTGCCCTGCTGGCCAAGTGCAAGTATTAGAGTAAGCAGGGACCCTAATTATTCTCAGAAACCAGGCTTGTAACTACTTCCAAGCTGACAAAACTGCTTCTACTATTTATTCAGTAGGAACTGGTGCTGGGCATTGGGAGGTTGGAAGGGGTGGGGAAAGCCTACCCAGGTATTCACAGCACACCTGCCTGCCTCAGCCTGAGCCCTCCAGGGAGAGCCGGGCTTGCAAACTGAGGCTTAGGCTGCCCTAATGGCTAGCCCTGTTCCTGCTCTCATGAGCACTTGCTGAAAGATTCTGGACTCAGTTTCCTATGATGTCCTCCTCTAATTAAAAAAACGATGAATTGGCCGGGCGCTGTGGCTCACGCCTGTAATCCTAGCTCTTGGGAGGCCAAGGCGGGCGGATTGCTCAAGGTCAGGAGTTCAAAACCAGCCTGAGCAAGAGTGAGACCCCGTCTCTACTATAAATAGAAAGAAATTAATTGGCCAACTGATATATATATAAAAAATTAGCCGGGCATGGTGGCACATGCCTGTAGTCCCAGCTACTCGGGAGGCTGAGGCAGGAGGATCGCTTGAGCCCAGGAGTTTGAGGTTGCTGTGAGCTAGGCTGACGCCACGGCACTCACTCTAGCCTGGACAACAAAGCGAAACTCTGTCTCAAAAAAAAAAAAAAAAAAAAAAAAAAACGATGAATTTATAAGTTTTTGGATCAACATGAAAAACTGCTCTCTTTAGTAAAAATTAACAAATCCTTCAAGGCCTATTAGAAATGGTATAGGTATGGGCACAGTGATAATAGTAAGAATTATAAAGTACTTTACAGTTTACAAAAGACTTCCATATACATTTTTTAATAATAGCACTCTCACATACTAGCTATGTGACTTAAGTCAGTAAATGTCTTTCAGTCTTAATTTGCTCATCTGCACAGTGGGAATTACAATGCCTATCGCACAGGGACCAGTTAGTATTAAATGAGATGACACATATAAAACTCTTAACAATTGTCTGGTTCATGGCTCAGTAAGTGGCAGCTATTAATATTACCATCTATTGTTCAAACTCTGTAGTCAAGGAAAAAATGCAACTATTTTCAGCTGACCTTGAATCTTCTCTAAGCCCTTACCTATTCATGTTAGCCAATCCTTAGGGGTAGGTAGATTGCCTCCTGGGGTTTATTTTCCCCATGCCTTTATTTCTTTTTTTTTTTCTCTCTCTCTCCAGTCCTCTCCACACCCCTTAAAACTGATTCAGCTGCCTTTGTTAATTTTACTGGTACTAACCAATTATTTGACTAAAATAATTGGTTAGTTAAAACTTGAGTTATCAAACTTTTACTAATCAATTAATTTGATGTCTATATGGGCCAATATGACCTTAAACATGGGGAGGAACGGATGGACACATCCTCTAGAAAGAACGTGTTATATAAGAAAAATGAGGCCGGGCGCGGTGGCTCACGCCTGTAATCCTAGCACTTTGGGAGGCCGAGGCAGGCGGATTGCTCAAGGTCAGGAGTTCGAAACCAGCCTGAGCGAGACCCCGTCTCTACCAAAAATAGAAAGAAATTAATTGACCAACTAAAAATATATATACAAAAAATTGGCCCGGCATGGTGGCACATGCCTGTAGTCCCAGCTACTCGGGAGGCTGAGGCAGGAGGATTGCTTGAGCCCAGGAGATTGAGGTTGCTGTGAGCGAGGCTGACGCCATGGCACTCACTCCAGCCTGGGGAACAAAGTGAGACTCTGTCTCAAAAAAAAAAAAAAGAAAAGAAAAATGGTCCGACTCCCACCTTGGGCCAAAAGGAGACTATATCCTGTGCTCACTTCACAGAACCATCCTAAGGACCAAACCAGAAATGGCTGGAAAGCACCCAGGATCGCGGCAGGCATTTAGTGGCACCCAGTAGGTTACTTCTCCTCTCCTTCACCATCTGACCTGGAGCAGAGCAAGGAAAACACTCGCTCATCTTCCCACTTTCCTCGTTCATATTCAGACACCTAACAACGACCCAGCTAGTTACGCATGGATTTCCTGGGCGTGTCTGGCTATGCTCATGTTCTCCCATGATTCTAGCAGATAACATGTAGATTAATAGGAACGGGAAGCTCATCAGGTGTGTGAACAAGCAAACCCAGTGTGGAGCTATGATCATCACCAACCAACGCTCTTGCTGAATATTCCGGCATCTCGCGCATGGAGGATATGTTTACATGGAAACTACAAGGACTCAGCTGTGCTGAAACCAAGCTTTAGGAAGTTAGGGATTTTAAACTGAGCCCACAGTTTGCAAAGATATACTCACTGAATAAAGCAAACTTAATTATTATTTTTTTAAAAAACAAACAAAAAAAACTATAAGGACAAAAACATCAGGATTGGCAGGGACTGGAGTGGGGACAGTTTACTACAAATGGGTGTGGGGGGATTTTGAGGGGGTGATGGAACTGTTCTATTATTTGTGCACTAAAAAGAATACATTTTAAGGAATGTAAATTATACTTTGATAGAAGTAACTAGTGCATGGCAGTTTCAAGGTGGTTGCTATACTTTCAAGACATGCCCATGAAGACCACAGAAGGTGCAGAATATACATCCTCACGGCAATGCCCACCAATGAACCAGCCATCGCACATGTGGGTACCGACTGAGAAGAGCTGATTCATCCAGTGAATAGTGAACAAGGAGAACGCTATGATGACAGCTTCCTTGGTCTATGACAGACACTCATGCATTAATATAGGTGTGTAAGCAAGAAGGCTGAATAACATACATTCTCAACACCATCAGCCAGACCAGAGGCTTCTGTTTCGGATCTGCAGATGCTTCACACCTAAAGAGACCTAACAGACCATTAATCCAACCTGCCAATTCCAACATTCTCTCCAAATTCACAAAGACAGAAGAAAACTTTCAGATCCATCTCCAGGGGATGAAAAACCAGTTTTCTCATTCCCTTGTAAACCTATGTAGGTCAGATTTATTTTATTCTGCTATCTTTTTTGATGAGTAGGAGAACTGGCAATAGATGGTTTGGTTTGCCTTCAGATCAAATTTTCCAAGGGAAAAATTTGAGATTTCCATGAAAATACGGTTGGAAAATATGGCGGGAAAACGAACTTTAAAGTTTTGCTCCTTCTCATTCTCCAACTCCTTCCCAGGTTAGCCACTTTGCATGCAGAGAAGCAAAAACAGAAGTAAGTACAGTGCGTAGCTGTGGAACATCACATGCTCAAGGAGGAATGCTGGGATTGGATTCCTGACCCAAACTCTCGGGCAAAGGCAGCAGACAGCCCCATGTCAGGGAAGTGTGGGAAGACCCTGGGCAGGCTCTTCCTCTCTTGCTCTCTCCTACACAGAAGAAGGGCTACGTCAGTTTACCAAAGAATATAGCTTAAAACTGGGACCGACCCAATAAAGTCGAAGATTTTGACCCACATTGGTTGGGCAAAAGGATCTAGAATGTTAAAAATCAATACACAAAATTCTGCTCAGATTGCTTCTGCAGCGGACCAGAGGGAAAGGAAGGGTTGCTCCTCCTCTTTCCCCTCGCTGTAGAGAAAACTACACTTAACTGGCTTCGCAGCAGGGCTGAATTCCTTTGGCACAAACTCCCTGAGTCTCTGAGACCTATTTTCCACAGAAACGCTAGTTATGAGTTTCAGTCAGGATTAACTTAGATTTTTTTTTTAATTCCTACATGTATCAGAATCCTTCTTCGAGGGGAAGTTCTTATATATATCCATTCCCAGAATTCTCTCAAGACATCTGGTCTCATTAGAAGATCAAATAGATCCTCCAGATTCATTAGTTGTTTAACAAAGTGGGAATTATTTTCTCACTGCTCTTGTGTTTGTGAGATATTCAAGACAGAGGGGAGAAAAAAATGAACTGGGGGAAAAAAGTACAATCTTCTTGACCTGTCACAAGGACAACTCTTTCAGCAGAATGGGGAAGTCTTGTATTTGCTCTTAATTTCCAAAAACACAAGGAAAAAGTCAGAGAAGTATAGGCCACTTTAACACAGATTTGGTTTAAAGAATTGAATATTGAATATAATTAGACACTATCTCAGAAAAGTTTATAATTAGTGGCTCATCTATCACCTGGTTACAATCCTGTCTTCTTTTTATGGGAAGATTCACAAATTTGCAAATCACCCCTACGCAGGAGTAATGCTAACCTTCTCTGTATCTTTCCAAGCACCCTGTGTTCACATTCTGCCTATTTTCACCAACATACAGAAAAAGAAAGCCATGTTAAGAACATGCCCAGCCTCGGGTAGAGCACAGGACACAACTGTGTTCAGTCATTTTAACTGCTGTACACAACTCACATGCTGCTGCTGAACAGACTCTCCCAGAGAGGAAGCTGTGTGCAGAGGGGAAGGCACCAGAGAATACTCTGGAAACTTTAGGCCCAGAAGTGCTCACTGGTGGATCCATGGTACTGAACGATACCCTGATGGCCTGAAAGAATTATTGTAGCTTTCTAAAGTGACTCATTCACTCCCAGGGGGTTGTCTGGGCTGAGGGAAAATCTGTCTCGCTGATTACTAGTGATTTAATAATTGGATGGTAGTGATGGACTTCTGATAACCTAGAGATTTGCTTTAGCTTCACTGGCAAAGCTCTGTGTTTTTGGAGTCAAAGGTTACACTGCCTATTTGTGTGTGTGTGTGTGTGTGTGTGTGTGTGTGTGTGTGTGTGTGTGTATTGGGGGATAGGGGAGGGGAGTGTGCTTCTTTGAACCTGAATCTACCGATCCCATTTCTGCCATTTAGTAGCTGTATGATCATGGGCAAGTCACATTCCCTCTCGAGCCTCAGTTTCTTCATCTGTAAAGAGAAGAGGTCAAATGATTTCTACCATCTCTTCTAGTTCTGAAAAACCTTGTGGTTTCTAGAAGATGATGAGTATCTTTTGATGCATGTTTGCTGTTGCAAAAGCTACAAGTTTCAGGGTATTAATTTCATCTTTCTCATGTCATTATTTTGAATGGAGACCACAAGTGCTCCATACAGGTATGTAAGAAATCAACACAGCTCACTTGTACTGTCCTCAAGCCCTTTTCCTTTAATCTCCCAGCTCTGAAATTCCATGGTTTCTATGAATGCAATCTTTTTTTTTTCTGAATGCTATTTCACAAGCTAAGAGTTCAAGAGTTGTTAAATTCCTCTTTCTCATTCCAACATTTGAATGGAGACCAGAATGCCTTTTTTGCACCTTTTGTAGATATATTGAGAAACAAAACAACCCACTGACTTTCCTGGTCCTTCTGTGCCCTTAACTAGTAAATAAATGAAATCTATATTCTCTTTTTTCTACATGGTAAAGTGTATATCTTCTCCTGGGAGAGTAAGCAACAGGTCATTTGCAAAAATTGCGTAATTAGGAGCAAATATATGACTTTTCATCTTTAGGTTGTAAAGGTATAAGTAACCTGCCCTGTAAGTCTATCACTTGAGGGAAAAATTGCTATGACATTAACAAGGAAAAGGTGAATGTTTAAAGAAGAGCATTCATCTTCCCAAATGATATTTAAAAATACCAACTTTTGCAAAAAGATGGGGTAGGGACTTGGGCTGCAGGTTTCAGGGGTGTCTTACAGGCCGTGCCCGGAGAAAGAGGACAAGCCTTTTTCAGGGGTTGTTCTGAGTGGTACCAGGTAGTCCACATCCCACACAGCTGGCCAACAAAACACCCCCCAGAGCAATGTTCCTTGAATTTCAGGTCATGCTTCATGTGTGGATCATGAAGTAAATTTACTGGATCATGACCAGAATTTTTAAAAAACATAAATTATACTAAAGCAGAATAGAATAGAAAATATCAGAGTGCATGGCATGTGTAAGTCTAGTGAAACTTTGGTTCCATTGTGTGTGTGTGTGTGCCTGTGCGTTTGCGCGTGTGTGTAAGTGATGTGTTTGGTACAATATGTTCCCATTCAAAATATATTTCCTACTGCAGGTTAAAAGATTTGAAAGCCACAGCTCTGGAGATGTCTGAATCCTGGCTTCAAACAACTCTCTTTTGTTTTCTGACAGAGTAAATTTATAAACAAAAGGAAAAGAAATTCTCCCAAATGTAAATAGTCACTTCACAACTCTCTATTGAAACTATCCCTAAGTTACTCTGGATTCAACTTTTTGTTCTCTGAAAAATACTTTGAATCAGTCCTGTTCCGTGTGAGACCGAGGCAGCGGTGGAATGGGGCAGGACTGTCCTTCTGTCCTGGGGCCAGCGCCTCCTCCTTCCTTGTAGGCGCCCCCAATACTTGTATGCACTTTCCGTTTTTCTTTTTCATTTTCCCATGAAAGAATGATAAATGCATTAAACAATAGCACAATGATTGACAATGTTTTAATATGTGCCATTCCCAAAGATATATATTGTAGCCAAGTATTTAAACTCATGCCATATAAAAGACTCTCATTGTAGAATTCAGTTGCAGGGAGAAGAAAAGAGGAAATTTGGAGAGAAAGTATTTTCCCAGGACTCCTGAAGTCCAACTTGTGCTTAGCTATGTTCACTTTATAAAATTTCCTTTTCTACATGTAAATAGTAAGCATTATTTCTTTCCTTATTTGTGAAATATGCCTTTATTCTCTTCAGCTGTCTTCATCTTTTAAAAATAATTATTCATGAAAAAGTCTTATATATAAACTCTAAGAGGATACATTTTGTCTCATCCAACTTTGTATCTCTCTTACACCCAACTTACTGCTTGGCAAATTTTAGGTCCTTCCTTAGTACTGATTGACTGCTAATTATAACACAATTATACTACTCTTTAACACATGTAGTGATGTTGTTTTCCAGTGCTAAAGGGAATATAACTGTATGGGGTTTCTTCCTGAATATAAGCTAAAATTATGTAAAGACTGTGCTTTTCATAAAATAATAACAATTTAAGGATAGTATCACTTATATTGAGCATGTAGTATATGCCAGACTCCCAGTACTAGGTGCTCAATCACATATTCTCATTTTTTTCCTGCAAAACCTCTTCAATATAAGTGTTGATATGTTTCCCATACTCCTTAACAAACACGATATATACAATTTTACAGATGAGAAAATTGGGCTCAGAGAGTATGGTAATCTGCCTATAAAAACACAATTATTAAGCAGGGAAGATATAATTCAAATCAAGTCCATTGTATTATCAAGGCTGTGCTTTCCTCACTTTTACATTACCTAACCTTTTAGTTGTATCGAAAATTATCATTTTAATTTTCATCTCCAGTCTGGGCAAGGTGGCTCACACAGAGGCGAAGGTGGAAAGATCACTTGAGCTCAGGAGTTCAAGACCAGCCTGAGCAAGAGCGAGACCCCATCTCTACTAAAAATAGAAAGTAATTAGCTGGACAACTAAAAATATATAGGAAAAATTAGCTGGGCCTGGTGGCACGTGCCTGTAGTCCCAGCTACTCGGGAGGCTGAGGCAGGAGGATCGCCCGAGCCCAGGAGTTTGAGGTTGCTGTGAGCTAGGCTAACGGCCATAGCACTCTAGCCTGGGCAAGAGAGTGAGATTCTGTCTCAAAAAAATTTAAAAATGTTCTGATTACACAGAGTGGTTACAGACACTACATATTCAGAAAATATCTGGCCTGACCCCACTAATACGATGCACTCTGCTTGGCCTCTGCAGCCTGCTGTATCCTTCAGGCATCTTCTAATGTAGCAGTAAAGAACACAAAAATAAAGAGTTGGATATGTCAGCAGTCTTCACAGCATGCTGGTGGCATTTTATTAACATACTTTGGTATGTTCAGATAACTTTTTTCATGCACAAGAAACAGAACTTAGTGAAGACTGCTATGAAAATTATTATTTTCCATTTTCACATTGCTTCCACATTCCCTCATCCACCTACCTGCATAGGCCATTTTTAACAGTAACTCTTTAAATTAAAAGCCTGCTTTGTATTTTCTTTGTCCCAGAGATTTTAAAATCTCCTGTCCTTGGCAGTCAGAAGCCACAGATAGTTAGCAGCCACATCTCCCCACATGACAGCAAAGGGAAGAAATTGATGTTATGATAGAATACACTTAGACATCAAATGCAAGACTCACTTTTAAAACAGGCAGGAAGCCACTGGCTACCAAATGTGGTTTTGTAGCCACTCTTAGAGATTCCAAACTTCTAAATAACTTTCCTATATTAATTCAGTCTTCAATTTCGGGAAACAGAATAATTATATAGTTAAACAAGATCCCTACGCAAACAAGTACTGTGTTTACAGTGCACCAATCCATTAAAATCAACGACAGACTATGTGAACTAAAACCCCAGCCAAATAGACCAGCACTCACAATCTGCCCATTCCCCATCCAATAAACATCCTATTGGAATTTGCTCCAAAAACAAAGTCTTTACCAACCTAATATCCAGGTAAACAGGTAGTAAATACCTACTTGATACTACTAACCAGTGGTATTTTTTTAATTTAGAGTCTAAACACAACTCAATGTTGGCATTTTTTTCTTTTGGAAGAAACCTTCAAGATAATACCATTATAATATAGGTCTTTACTTAGTAATTAAAAAAATCATTTAGTAGGTGCTGTTTCACATTGACTTGACCTTTTTTTTGGCCATAAACCATCTGAGTTAAAAGGAATAAAGACATTCTACCATTTGGGGGAAAAAACCCATTTTCTATATTTTATATTAAGTTCTATCCCTCCCCCAAATTAAGAGCTACACAGAATAAAAGCCCCATCAAGTTTAAACTACAGTATTCCTGGTAAAAATACTTCCACACTGTAAATCATACAAAGAAGAAAAGTAAGGGCAATGTTTTCTCAGCACCAAGAATATGTTAACTAGGAACATAGTTAGGTCGCTTGCAAAGGGTATTAGAAGTGGTAATGGCTGGTGGCGTACCTTAAGTTCTCGGAAGAAGATACTACTCCTGGCCCACTCCACGATGGAGAAGAGGGTCTGATCTGCCATTTTGCACATAAGCCCAAAGGTGCTCAGCTTTTCGTGTTTGCCCCGGTTAGCCTGCTCTTGCTGCAAATAGGCCATGATTTTGGCCTGGACTTGAGGCTCATCTGGTTCACACTTCAAAAGTTCCAGTATCAGATGTGGGATGCTTGCTGGAGAGCTCGTCTGGTAACTGTCCATGTAGGAGTAGCCCATTATTGACTCTGGGGAGCTGGTGTAGGGGTCGGGGTACTCAGACTTGATGGCGCGACTGGGAAAGTGGCCATATGTTTGGTAACCTTGCAGGCTGCCGTGAGGGGGCATTGTCATGCTAATGGGGGACGTGACAAAGGGGCTTCTGTCATAGTCTGTGGGAGGCAAGGCAGCGTGGTTCAGAGGTAGGCCTTTGGAGGCAGAATGGATGTTCTGAATCGCAGAGGAGATGGTCAGGTCTGAGGGCATCGCTTGGATCACCTGAGACATGGCTTCTAGCTTAAGTCCATTGGCTCGGATGAGGGCTTTTTTCTGTTGCTTCAGGGCCCTGTCTCTCTTGTACATTGGCCCAAACTTATTTCTTCCTCCACGCATTCGGTCAGCCCTTACCGCTGTTTGGGGGAGAGGGGGCGAAAGGGAAGGAAGAAGCGTATAAATAAGGTGTAAATTATCATCATTCTCTAGACCTCCAGAACTTGAGATATTGAAAATCAACCAGAAGCGATTATGTATATGGTTGTTTTCCTTACAATAGCCCACAGATTTCCCAAGGAACCATGTCCTCTGTATTTGTGAATTCTTTCCTCCAAGTATGTGTTCTCACCAAAAAAATATTTTGGATACATAGGGACATATTAACCTTTTCATGGACTGAAGGGATTTCACAATTTTTGCTAACCACAAGGGTATTTCACATCGCTAAAAACAGCATCAGTTGACCTACTCAAGTATCAGCTTCTATTATGCCAGTTATATCATGACCCCAAACTGCTTTGGGTTTTTTAGGGGGCAGAGAGCAGGAATCAAATCACCATTTCTGGATTAAATTGCAAATATTTTTTCTTGGGACATCTTTCTCCCTCAAGCCACTTTAGCTAATCTGCTGCAATTGCAGAACGGTTGGGTACATGCTCTTCTTGGAAAGTCATTTGTACCTGACTTGATGAACTCACATCAGATAACCCCCGTTACTGCTTTTAACTTAAGTGGAGTGGGACACAATTAAAGTAGATTCATTTTAGAAGAGTCTTCTGCCACAGTGGTGTGTGAGTCTGGGGCCATGCCTAATAAGTCAGTTGGCAGTTCTCTCCAAGCCCATAAAAGCCAGTGGCAATTAGACAGAAACCATAGGCCTCTGACAGCTTATGACAGATTGAAATTGCTGGAGGTTAAGTTTTTCAGCTTTTTATCTTAGGATTAGTGTAACATTAAAAATTTATTGTGAATTCTAGGTATCCAGAATAATGCACAAGATCATAAAGAGTTTTTCATCTGGATGATAATTTATTGAATATTTAATTGTTTCATATCACTCCTAAGGAAGTATGAGTATATACCAAAAGTGACTATTATACAATTAAGAAAGCGTAATTTTTAAGATAAAGAAATGCAAACTTTTTCCTTCTGTTGAAAAAAAAATCAAATGTTGTATGAAATCACAACATATCATTACTTATCTTCTTAGTTTCATACCATAGTAAGCACATACGACAATATTTTGCTATTCAAGAAATATTAAAGTGATTGGTGATAAGGAAATTAATAGCCATCAATTATTTCCTTTCTTGATCTCTTTTAAAAAACAATACTGACTTTAACAGCCCTCATAACCAAAGTGGCCACTTCTATTTGGAAGGAATCTGTTAGCAATTTGGCATATTTATATGAATTTTTTTAGCATGAGTTCCATATAACATTAAAGCTCCAAATAAAAACTGCCTGTGCCTCATTGATCAAATAAAATGCATTCTTATATCTAGCACCATCAGTGATATGTATCCCTTGTTATTGCTTTATTTGCAGTATATTTAATCCGTGGAAAGCCAGTAGGTCAGAGGTTGGAAAACAGCAACATACTGTAATAGTCCATGAACTACAAATTATTTACAGCAGTCACATATTAACTTTACCGCCTGCCAACCTGTACCTTGTCGTATAGGTTTTGCTCTTGCAACAAAGTTTAGTGCGACTTTTGAGGAATCACTCTTATTCTTGTCAAACCATGGCTATTGATTTAATAGTTCATTATTATTCATTATAATAGTTCATTATTATTTCTTCTCAATTTTTCTATTTTGCAGACTCAGTCATTATCTTTAAAAAAAGGAATGTGTATTCCTACACTATCAAAAATGATGCTCTACATAAGAAACTCCTTTTCACAATTAAAGGCTTTAACTCTTACTCAGGAGTCATGAAATTAATAGTAACAATTATGACAAACACACCTATTTAAAAAGAATTGAAATCAAACTTTTACCAGGGCATCCCAGTCTGTAAACTTAAAAGATATTTTATGTTTATAGTTTTGCAAGCTAATTCTATTTTTTCTCAGTTGGCTTGCTTTACTCTTGTTTTCATGTAACCTAACCTTTTTTGTGTAAAATGCATCTGCTCCCCAAACTAAAAAAGGGAGAAACTGATATTTAAATTTTTTTTCCTGGTAGATGTTACCATGTTTAAGTGAGACTCAGACTATTCTGCAGACAAAACATAAAAAGATCTTACATTATTGTCAGTAGTGTTAAAAGACTGGGAAAATAATGTTACCATGCTATGAGTACAATGTTGTTTTAAAGTCCATGTCCTTGGAGAGTTTTAATAGGCAGTAGTCTTTAGAAGAATCTTACCTTCTAGCTTCATTCCAACACTTAGACATTTTTGAAATCGACAGTAAGGACAACGTTTTCTCTGTGTTTTGTCAATTTGGCAGTTCTGGTTTTCTATACATGTGTACCTTTTATTATTTTGGACTGTTCGCTTAAAAAATCCCTATAAGACAGAGAAAATAGTGAGACGTATTATAAATCTAACACCCGTCTCTTCCATTGTTTCATTTTAAGGAAATCACCAGTTAATCCTTTCATTGCACCATTTGAAGCCCCTATGAGGTTCAGTGGCTTATTTTACATTTCAGCAAGAACAACCCTCCAACACAGTGCCAGGCCATGGTGGAGGTTTTTTGGCATCAGAACTATATTCCTGAAGAATTACATCAAATCTTGGGGAGATTTGGCTACATAACATTTTAGAAAAAAATACTCTGTATATTTACCAGTGATTTTTTTTTTTTAATCTTTTTTCCTATTAACCTACATGCTCCAGATAGAGGTACTCATGAAGATCTGGAATTGTAGTATGATACAATTTTAGTGATAAAGCATTGCAAGATGCCAGTGAAAAATGGAATAGCAAAACACCTCAGATCTTTTACAAATGTCAACACTGGAAAGTTAAAAGCAAAAGGATTTAAAGAGTAAAATGGGGAAATGCTCTTAATTCCACTGGAATACATTCAAGTATGGGAACTGTTTAAAAAAAAGGTGAAACTAATGGAAAGGAAAGGCAGGCATTGCAGAGGGCTGGACTGCAGCACACACAGCATGTGCTTTACTTATATTTCACTCAAAAATAAAATTTGTAGCTTTATGATGTAATAACAGCTTTAACAGGATAGTATTTATAATTTTCCTACTAGCCACAAAGAGAAACAATCTTACTTTGTTATAAAGAATGAAGGGATTTTTCTTGGTAGTGGTTTAAGTAATTGGTAGTGAGTTTTCTACTTTAAAAAAATTACTGAAAGTGGTCAACATTGAACTTACTGGGAATAATAAAGGTCTGAGATAAATTCTTAAAGTATAATTGATATTTTAGTAGCAACATAGTACATTATGTATATTAAAATACTTTCATTTAAAAAGGTCATACATGCTATGAAAATTACTCTGTTAAAAACTAAACTCTGGTTTCTTAGTCTTTATGATAAAAATTTCAAAAACCTTTAAAATTATTTTTGGAATGAATCAGGATGAAATCACAGTTGGGAATTTAGACTTTTGCGTCTGTGGATAAAAAATGTGTAGACTTGGAGCACAGAATACTCTCAAGCTAAAATGTATTTGGGAAATACTTTGTCACGTCCCCTCTCAAGAACAACGATGCTTTAAATGTATATAAGTCAAACAAAATCAATATTTAGGACTGTTAGAAATGGAAGTCTTTCCACAGCTACATCACTTCACTACAGTAAAATATTTTAAAACCATGAGAATGGCAAAGTTTTCTAAACAGCATAAATTCCTTTGCCTTTTGAACTAAATCAGACACATATTTCTAAGAATCATCTCCCTAAGACTCTTTCTTTGTGTCTCATTTTTAATTGAGTCTAAAAAAGATAACCTAAGTTTAGCTTAAAAAAAGTGACCCAATGGCTTATTTTGGTTTCGAACACTGTATTTTTCAGGTAGCAATGTGTGAACTAACCTTGCAGCTCTCACAGGTGAGAAGCCCATAATGGTAGCCAGACACTTTATCTCCACACACGGGACAGAGCTCTTCAAGGTCTTCATCATAGGAGTAATTCACCATTTTAAATTGAGACACTGAAACAAGAGAAATGTACACACATATATCCAATTAATGTACTGTGTAGGCTTTAATCCCGGAAACAAAAGCATTTTGGTGACTGGTGGGTAAATATCAGCAGGTAAAACGTAAAATAAAAATAATTTTTTACCCAGGTTGTACTGAAGAGAACTACTTTTACACAGTGAAAGTAAAACATCTTTTGGCATCAATGAGCATGTACTTCATTATTTGTAAATTTTAAAAATAATTCATCCACATGGAAGCATTAGGAGGAAGAAATATAATAAATTAGTAAAAAAAAAAAAAATAATTCCAACTTCTTTTGTTAACACTTTAAACTGACCACTGTTGAACACAAGTCTCATAACTCTGCAAAGCAACAAATTAGAATGGAATCATGAATTGTATAAAGTGACAGCTTAGGATTTCTTTGATTTACATCTCTGTAAAGTTCCAAAATGTCACATTTGGCTGAGAGAGAGAAGCAGGCACACACAGAATGCCCTCCTCACTCCTGAAGGAGTCTGCTGCGAGTGCACCTTGCTAATAAGGGTAGCAGCTCTGGTTTGCAAACTCTTCAACAGAGAAACTGAAGCCCCCGCGGCGGCTCCACTTAAACTGCCTGCGGCTCCCCATGCTCAGATCTGCTAGAATAATCGAAACATTCAGTTCCACATGGACAGTACTTCTGGATACTTCATCTCCTCACGTTTGAAAATCTGTGAAAATAAAAAGGAGGAAAAAGAAGAGAGAGGACGCCCGGATGGGGGGAAGGGGGGAAAAAAACAGAAGAGGAAAAGATACACAGGAGGGCTTGGTTTCGTTGAAAAGTATTGAAGCTCTGTAATGAACTTCACGTTTCCGATCATCACTGCAAAAGATAAACACCTCAAAGCGATCGCCCTGTGAAAGTTAAACGGAAATCAGGCCGCTGCGGACGCGCTGCCGGGTCCGGTGACCGCCTGGCTCTAGGCGGCCCGGCCGAGGCGTCCCTGCAGTGGAAAAGATAAAGTATGCGCAGGAAGCGCAGTGACCAGAGGACCCCGGGAAGTACCTGATCCGGCCCTTCCCCGGGACTCCGCATCCATGCGACCCGGCCTGGGCGCACGGGTGGGCGGCACCACGGGCCAGGGCAGGTCTGCACGCCCGCACTGTCCGGTGAGACCCCTGCGCGCCCGGCTCTGCGCCCGGCTCTCGTCCTGGCCTCTGCCGCCCAGTGGCGCACAAACAGGGAGCCGAGTTTGTTTTAAGTTAATCAGTGGCGTTTGCAGGGGGTGGGGCGGGGGGATGGGGAACCCACAGCCCGGCAGAAGTTTCCTCTGGTTTGTTTACCACAAAGGAAAGAGAAATCGCCCCCACCCACCCCATTGCCAAAGTGCCCGGCCACTCTATCACCGCAGTGGCCTCATTTCGGATGACTTGTTCCTTTTAAAATAAAGTTCTTTTTTGCTCAGCTTCTGAGGGCCTCGGAATGGGCCGTCAGGGGGGTGGGGGGTCACTTACAGCACTTGGCGGCTGAGGGCCGAGCGGGACCCGCCGAGCTGAAGTGCCTCTTCCGGAGCCGCCGAGCCTGGGCTGGGGCTCACACCCGGGCGGGTCAGCCGGAGTTTGGGAGAATCCCGGGAGAAGAGGCTCCAGCAGACGCGGGAGACTGGGCTCAGTGAATTGCAAATAAAGGGATGTTGGGCTCAGTCCTCCCAGCGGGGCCAACCTCAATCCCACACCTAAGAGATCTCTAGGGTTTGGGGAACCTGGGGGTTTAGGAAAGGCTGAGGGTTCAGAAGTTTTGTTTATAGCCCTAGACGTTTATGGCTCTCCTAAAACTTAGGATTACTGTCTTGAGGCATGTTTTAGGGACAGGGACGGTTGTACCTCCCCTTCCCCAACAAAGTAAACTCTGACTTCAAACCTAAGGTGCACGGGTAGGAAACTGCTTTCAGAGGGACTCTGTGCCCACCTCGGGGATCCAACATCGAAAAGACCGAGGCATGGGGTGGGGACCCTCTTGAAAAATCCAGAGACAGAGCCTGAGTGGGGGAAAGGACGTCGCTGCCCGAGGCCCAGGCGTCTTCTAGAGTTTTCAGGTGTCCTGGTGCAGCTGAATTAGGGATTTGGGAGCCACTAGAAGAGGATACTGCGGGCTTTGGAAAGCTAGGGCCTCAAAGAGGTGCGTGGGGAAGTGAGGCGCGCCGCGCTATCCCGGGACCTAGTAGTGACTCTTTTTGGGTTCTCCTAGGAGTGAGACGACGGACGCGTCCCAGGTTGGAACCAGAGCAAGCCTGGAAATGAGCGCCCGTCCCCTGGGGCTCCACTCAACTGGCAGGCTGCTGGTCCTAGAAGCCGTGCCCAGGCTCACCATGCTGCTTGCGAATCAGGGGCTGAGCGAGCAGGCGACAGGCGACTTCTGAGCCCCAGGCACGAGGGAAAGCTAATTCTCTGGTTTGGGGATATCAAGCAATGTGTCAAGAAGGCCCCTCTCGAACTTTTCCAAGAAAACGTTAAGATGGCATTCCCTCCCCTGCTCCCAAGTAAGCCTTTGTTTTTGCCTCCCTTAATTGTTGTCTGGCGTCTCCTTTAGCTTCTTTTCCCGAGTCCCCCAGAAATGCCCGCTCCAGAAGGAAAAGCAGAAACTTTCCTTTTGGACCCAAGAATTGCGCTGACATCACCCAGAGGCCCCAAGGGTAGGCCCTCTCCGGAGCTGGTGGCTGAGGGCCCGGCTTCCCACGCCGCTTCCTTTAGCCCCACTACTCTGGAACCCCAGGTGCGGGGGAGAAACGCCTCTTGGGGCCAGCCGAGTCCCCCAGCAGCCAGACCCACACGACAAATCGGTCTCTGGGGCCTTAGCCCCAGGGGACTTCCACAGCCCTACCTGAAGAATTGGAGAAACCCCAGGGTCACCACCGTAGGGGTGACCGACAGCACCAGTCAGACTCAAGCCCTCCTGCTACCCCCTTCCCCATCCGCAGCCGGGCAATATCAGGTCCACCAGCTTGTGCGCCCCAGGCGCGCCGCCCACTCCGCACCGCAGTGCGCACCAGCCCTGAACTCTGCTCTCAACACCTCCCCGGCCCTTTCAAGTTCGCGCAAGGGGACAGCAGGAAGCGTGCCGGGATCACAGGCCCGCCGGCCCGCACATCCTGCACGCTGGAAGGGGCGAGGATGGAAGAGCACCGGTGACTTTTCCTAGCATTGTTCCCTCCCCGGCCCAGGGCAAATGCGATAAACTTCTGAAGGGCTTAATACAAGCCAGATCTAGAGCTGCTATTTTGGAATGAGGAGAAAACATAGCCGGCGGGATTTGTTTATTTGTTAGCAATCAAGAGCTGGGAAAACAAATGGGACTTCATATTCCCAGCTCTCGGTTTTAAACCGGGGCAATAAGCTAAACCGCCGCTCCCGAACCCCAAGGCATTCAACACCACCCGCGCAGGGAGTAGGGTTGGGGTAACTTTGGTTCCCTGCAGTACTGCAGCAGTTTTGAAGTTGTCCAACTCCAAGCCAGCTGTTGGTGTCCACTTTGGCTTTCGGGGGTGCCCACATGCCGTTCTAATAACGCTACAAGCCTTCCTGGGGTCACCTTCTCTGTCTGTAGTAGACTTTCCCAGGCAGGGTCTTGCCTCTCCACACAAGAACACTGGCTAAGTACAGCACACACCGCTTCCATTGACAGAGAGCCTGCTCGGGTGTCCAGCAAGGCATTCCGTTTCTTAGAATGGTCTAATTATGCTAAAGTACCTTTAGCCTGGAGCTGCCCCGCTCGGGTTGCCATAGAGCTCGCAGCCTCTCTTCTCTTAATTAGAAGCGGCCAATTACACGACGCTTGGAAAAACCTCTGCCCCGCATTGTTCAAGAGCCATAAACTTTTATGCCTGCACCTGGGGAGGAGGCTTGTCGCCCGCGCGTCGCCTGGAAGCCCGCGGCTGCAAGCGCGCAGCCCGGCCGGGCCACGCCGCCGGTGCCAGGCAGAGGAGGCAGGAGCCGGCAGGGCGAGCCCTGGAGCGGTGAAGCCGCGGGAGCCGGAGCGCCGCGCGGCGCCTCCTTACCTTGCATGTTTTCCGGCATCTGGCCCTGTTCCCCATGCGATCGAGCCAGTCCCAGGGCTTCCGTCTCCACTTTGGGCAGCATGACAAGACGGCCGCGGGCCGGAATGGGGGGTCCGTGTCGGTCCGGAAGCCCAGCACCTGGACACGGGCAGCACAGATTCAACTCCGGCGGAAAGAAGGAAGGGGCGACCAGGGTGCCCGCGCGCCCACCCGCTCGCCAGAGCGTGCCTCCGCCGCCTCTGGGCTGCCGGGCAAGACCTTGGAGCCCTATCCTGTCTCACAGCTCCGGAGCTGCCCCCCGAGCTGCGAGGAAGAGATCGGGGATATCAACGGAGGCGAAGACGACGGCGACCGGGCGCCCTGGTTTGGCTCCACCAGGGCGGCGGCGAGGGCGCAGCTGCCCGGGGCGCGGAGCCACGAACTGACGAGCTCCGGGCGGGCAGCACAGGCGGCCGCGGGGCTGCGGTGCCGCTGCCGCTGCTCCCGGACGGCTCGGGCGACTCTTTCCCCTCCCTCCACCGCCCTCTGGCTCAGGATCGGCAGGGTCTCTCTCTCTCTCTCCCCTCCTCTCTCCTGTCTTCGCCTCTCCGCCCCTTCCTCCTATCTCTCTCTGCCTCCCAGTCGCTCACTATCGCAAGTGCGGAGTTGTGAAGTCGCAACCTCCCTCTCCTGCCTCGTTCAGTCCTCCCGCGCGTCCGAGAGCAGCTCTTGCCAGCCCCGAGGGCGGCGGCGCTGGGAAGGCAGGGGCAGACGAGGAGGGGAAGGGAGGTAAGTGTGGCCGGGGGTGGAGGGAAGGCAGGGGAGAGGGGTGAAGACGGGGAGCGCGGACACGGGTTCCGGACTCAGGTCGGACACTAGCCGCCAGCCAATGAGGACGTGGGGCATGCTCCAGTCCCCCAGCCTGTCCCAACCTCGTCACCCGCCTGCACCCCCTCCCACCCCACCCGGGCCTGGGGCGGGGGGATGTAAATGCAGCCGGGTCTTACGGCTGGAGAGAAGCGACCTCTGTCAGCGCGCTGGCGAAGGATAAGAAGCCTGGGCGGCGATTTCCGCGAGCTGAGGGAGCAAGGGGAAGGGATGGGGGTGTGGGCGTGTGCCCTCGGCTGTGTGTCGGGTGAGGAGAGTTAAACTCATCAAGGAGAGTTAAAGGCCCATTGAAACAACCTGAAGAAGAAAAGGGATACTGAATTCAGCTGACCGCTCTTCCCCAGTGCAGAGTTGGTCTGCGGTCTAGTGTCTCCCATTTTCCTAGCCCCAGGGCACTCAGTCCGTGGAGAGGCGACACCGTGGGTCCCCGGCGCCCTGGAGAGCCGGCCACATGGCCGAGTTCACTCACTTCACGGGAGTGAGAGGAAGTTGGCGGCCACTCCTATTTCCCCACGCTGCTCCCAGCTCTTTCGCTCGCTCACCAACGACGCTCTACTCCTGCCCAAGATTGTTTAGGCGACAGACTACCCAGTTTTAGTGAACTGTGTTTCCATATAGAATACAAGGATCAGTCTGGTCCTTTTTCACTCTGGCGACTCTTTAGTGGGACAGATCCGCATGAGGCCCAGAGGCCCAGCATTAAAAAAAAAAAGTTTTGAAGAACCATCTGTTAGGCAAGCTCCTCGACCACCAGCCCAGCCATATCTTCAAAGTTCTCAAATCTCATCCCAACGAGATGAAAAACATTGTTTCCAGCCTCCTGACTGCATGCGAAAAGCCTCACGTCCAGGGTCTGCAGTACAACTGAGCAATTATCAGAGTCCACTCACAAGGGGGTGAATTTGAATCTCAAAAGATCTGAAGTTATTCTATCTGAATGGCGTAGAGATCACACATTCCAACTGCCCAGACCAGTATCTGGTGAATTGAAAATTATTCTAATCCTTATAGCACATAATTTACATGCAATGGGTTGTTCAGCACCCACCCACCCCTGGCAATTCAGCTACTATTGACTCTCTAAACTGATTTGTCATTATGCTTTTCAATATATATTCAGAATCAAAGTTACTTGTCAGCTTAGTAACATCTCCAGGTTTTATGGAAACATTTAAACTTAGGGAGGACAGTCCATTAATTTGTATGGGAAAGGGGGCTGAAGTTGTCAAAATTAGTGACCCTTAAGCTCAGATTTTCATGATCGTATTAGGTAACACTGTCAGTACATTTGCAGTATTACTAGTTGTTTTTAAATGCTGTGAAGTAAGACTATATATTCTTGCATAGCTTAGAAAGGGGGTTGGTCCCAGGTCTCATTGCAGTACTTGCCCTGATTTGCTTATGAGTTCAGGTGAACTTTGAAAATCAGTTTATTTCAAAGCCTTCGCTTAAGAAAAACCTCCTCTCACTACAATTCAAACAGCTTGTGGGGGCACTTATCCAGCACCTTCCCCAGCATGGCAAGGATGCAGGACTCCAGACTCTTGGTCCTAAGAGGGAGCTTCCTGCCCCTAGTATAGTGGTGGCTTCACCACTTCTGCTGAGTGGAGCAGGAGGAGGTTAGGAGAGTTGCAAGAAGTTGAAAAGGGCCTGGCAGGACCACCTAATTGCAGTGTGGCAAGAAGCCCTGCCTTGACTTGAAGCTGAGGCCAAGGCTGACCTAGTGAGGCAAACTTTAGATTGTGCTTTAAATGCCAGCTGCAGGGCCAGAGGGACTTGCTGAGGCCACATCAGTGAGGACCTCTCTGTCCCTACCGGTCTGCACTTCCACCACAGCCCCCAAAGACCGCCAGCGATGGTGGCAAAAGGCCAGCTGGCATCATTTTATCTCCCCACAGGTAGACTTTCCAAGAAAGAAAAATTGTCACACAATGGAAGGGGTGTGCGAGGGAATAGCGGCTGGGGATGAGGTTTCAAAAATCTATTCTTTGTATCACAGAGGAAAGGGACGGGGCTCTTCGCCCTGCTTTAATGGCCAGACCGACTCCTCGGCTTAGTTAGCAGCTAACCAACGGGAGACAGAGAGGAGGAGAGAAACTGCCTTTCCCAAGAACCGAGGGAACTCCGCACCCAGAAGCGTCGCCCTGGGCGCGCCAGGCCTCCATCCCTACGGAGGGAGAAACTCCCTAGGGCCGGCCCTATTCCAGATCCCCTCGGGGGACGTCGAAGTTCCGCCTGCGGTGGACGAGGCGGGAATCTTCCACTAGAATTGGCACATTCAACGCTCCTAGAGTCGCTCCACAAAGGGTTTAGGAGAGAGGCCCGGTCTGCGACACCGAGGCAGACGCGGAGCGAGAGACGACGACCGCAGTCAGGCTTCCGACGCCAAGCTCACTACTGCCCTCCAAGCGCACCAGTTCTCAGCCCTCGGAACTCCGTCCTGGTTCCGCCACTCACTCTGACCCTTGACCCTACAATTCAGCTGGACAGAGCCCCCTACTGAAGCCGGGTGACCTTGGATCGGCCTGGGCGTCCCCCAGAATGCCCTCTCCGACAGAAATCTAGCCAAAGAGGAACCCGAGTTCACGGCATCTTAAGTGTGGCCACCTGGGGATGGTTCTGGGTCCCCGAGGCTGCAATGTGCGGAGAGCCAAGGGGCCGCAGGAAGGGCAGGCAGTTGAGGTGGAAGCAGGGAACAGTGCCGGCCTGTGCGGTCTGGACTGACCCACAAAGCCACCGACCGCGGGCAAGCAGACGCCCCCCACGCTCCGCCGGGAACATCTTACCAACCGCCACTCTGACTCTTAGTGGAAGCACACTTGGGACTCCACCTCCGCCTGCCAGGTGCGGGGAATTTAACTGGAGGTAGAGGCCAGAGACCGCAACCTGGGAGGCCGGGCTTGGGGGTGGGGAGGACTGCTCTGGGTTTAGCTACCGTGCGCGTTTTCCCATTTTTTTTCTTTGCACTCCCTCTGCCAACTTCTGGCAAACTTCTCTCCTTTCCCCCCACCTCCCCTACGCCGCCTCCTTTCCGACGGGACTGGTCTCCCGGGCTAGCCCTTCCCGGTTCTGACTTTGTCTTAAAGCGTTGATTGACGGTTGCAATTACAAAGGATGATGGCTCGGGGAGGCTCCCGCAGCCTTGATGAGCGCGAGAAGCGCAGTCCTAGCATATTTTATCCACGCTCGGCGTTCCGGGGCCGCGCGCGCCCCATTCACCCAGCCGGCTGGAGCGGAGGAGGTCCCGCGCTCCCCACCCGCGAGGAAGCCGCCGCCACCCTCCTCTCCGCCTCCACCTTCCCGCGGGGCCGCGCCGCGTCTCGGAGCGCGCGGCGGGAGCAGCCAGCCCTTGACCTGACCTGAGCGTGTCGGTCGACCCGGCGCGCTTGACCTGTGCGGGCTGCCGAGGGATCAAATGCCAAGATTTTCTGGAGCGCTTCGAGTTTCCCGGCGCAGCAAACACTGAGTGGCAGACACACCTTTCTCGCGCGCCTGGATGGATGAAGCTTAGCGGGATCCACCCAAACTCTCACGAAGCTTGCAAACCTTCATCCTTGGAAACAACTTCTCACATCTCCTTCAGCTCCACCCTTTGGCGTTTCTAAACCAGTACTATTACTTTTCTCGTCCCCACGCGTCTACTTTTTATCTCGCTCCCCCCCAAGAAATCTGGATTTTTTTCAGGTCTCCACCTAGTCGCTGGGATAGCCCGAGGGAGAAGAGAACCAAGTTTATCAGCTACCGAACCTCCGGCTCTGCCCGATTTTTCTACTCCGCCCACCTGAAAAGCCCATCGGAAGCTGCTTTAGCCTATCCTCTGAAAATTAACTTTAGCAAAGGAATTTCGGTTCTTGGATTCAGGAGCTGGGCTATCCGCCCCCACCCCTAGGCTCCACCCGCCCTCATCCGGAGTGCTTTGTTTTAAAAAGGACAAGAATTAAGTTG